CGCCGCCCCTGCAGTTGCAGCAGCCGCAGCAGCCGCCGCAGTCGCAGCCTTCGCAGCAGCCGCAGCAGCCGTCGCAGACGCGGCAGACGAGTGTCCTCCCGCCCGGGTGGCCCGGCGCTGGCGGTGGCCGGGCGCGTGGTGGTGTGTCGAGTGGTAGCTCTGGCGGCGGGCGCTGTCAGTACCAGATCCAGACCGATCCTCACCGCGGCTTCGTTTGCGGTAAGATCGGTCACTCCACTCCCCGCTGTTTTCGTCGCCTGGACGACCTCTTTCGTCAGCGCTTCCGCCCGTGGCCAGACCTCCCGGACTGGCACAGTTTGCTTAGTCGTAAGATTCAGATCTTTGATATGGACATGGATGCCATTGTTTCTGCTCTGCATGTGATGTATGCTGATGACTCTAGTGTGCTTCCAGCTTATTACTCACTGTTGCCTAGTGTAGGTGTGCCTAGCTTAGCCTCCCCTGCTGCGTCAGGCGTAGGATCCCCTGCTTTGTGTAGTCTTGGTGCTTCCGCCGTCGTTCCGTCGCCAGACGCCTCTGCTTCGCTTTCCTTCACCTTGGAGTCTGGCGCTTCTCGGTGTTTCTTCCGCGACTCCACCACCCTGACGCCGCTTCCCGTCCCTGCTGCCGTTTCTCTCGCTGACCCCTCTGGCGGTCCGGTCGTCGCCCGCAGTTCCACCACCCTTCCCTGTCCGGCGGTTCCTTCGGGCTCTCTTACAGGCCTGCATATCCCCTCGTTCTCCAGGAACCTAGTTGGTGTCGGCTGCCTCCAGGACCTTGGCGTCACCACTACGTTCCCTGGTCACGAGCGGTATGCTGTCTGTACCGAGGCCGCCACTGGTGCCCCCCTGTCCACGTTCCCCCGGGACCCGGTGTCCGGCCTGTTCACTCTGGACATCGTGACCCCCCCGGCTGGAGCGCTCACCCAGGTTGCTGCTGCCTGCTCTTGTCGGTCTGTCACTCACCCGACCATCCTTTGGCACCACCGCCTAGGTCACCCTGCGCTCCCGCGTCTGCGTCACATGTCCTAGCACGGTTTTGTCTTTGGTCTCCCAGGTTCTCTCCCTGCGTTTCCCTCCTCCCCAGCCCCACCTTGCACGCCTTGCGTCGAGGGTCGGCTTCGCCGTGCCCCTCACTCCTCCTCGTTTCCCCCTACCGCCGCGCCGCTGCAGACCCTGCACCTGGACGTCTGGGGCCCCGCCCCCGTCCCTGGGCCGCGTCGAGAGCGCTACTTCCTTGTGCTCGTCGATGACTTCACTCGCTACACCACAGTCTTTCCCCTGGAGCGCAAGGCTGACGTGCCTGGCGCTCTCATCCCTTGGCTTGTCTCTGCGCGTGTCCACCGCGGTCTTCCTGTCTTGCGTCTCCACTCAGACCGTGGTGGCGAGTTTGCCTCAGGTGTCCTTGGTCGCTTTTGTCGTGCGGAGGGCATCACCCAGACGTTCACCCTACCGGACTCCCCACAGCAGAATGGGGTCGCTGAGCGACGCATTGGTTTGGTCATGGAGGTCGCTCGCACCTCCATGATGCATGCCGGTGCACCCCATTTTCTGTGGCCGTTCGCTGTGCGCTACGCTTCTCACCAGCTTAACCTGTGGCCGCACCCTCAGCAGCCGCAGGCTTCGCCGACCCGTCTGTGGACTGGGTCTCCTGGTGACGCGTCTGCGTTCCACGTCTGGGGCTGCCTTGCTCACGTTCGTGCCTCCGGCACGGACAAGCTCACTGCCCGCACCCTTCCCTGCGTCTTCCTCGGTTTTCCCCTTGACGCGTCCGACTGGCACTTTTACCACCCGCCGTCTCACCGCTTCTTTCACTCTCGTGACGTCACCTTTGACGAGTCCGTCTCCTACTACCGTCGCTTCCCCCACCGTGGTCCCCCGGTTACCCCCCCCCTGTTCTTGGTCCCTCCTTCCCCGGTAGTCCCTGCCCCTCCTCCTCCTCCTCCCCGTCCCGCCCCCTCTGGTGTGTCCCACCTCACCCCCCTTCCGTCGGTGGACCCGGTTGAGGAGTCGTCTGACTCTGGTGGCCCTCCTGTGCAGTCCTCGCCAGCCGCCCCTCCCCTGGCGTCCCCTCCCCAGTCCCCTCCTCCACCGCCTCTGCCGCCGCTGCAGCCGTCGTTGCCGCCGCCGCCGCCGCCGCCGTCGCAGCACCCGTCCGCTGACTCTGGGGGTGCTCGTCCAGGTCGCCCTGGGGGTGGTCCCTCTGGGGGTGCTGGTGTGGAGAGTGCCGGGGGTAGCCGAGGAGCAGCTTGCGGTCCCGGTGTCGCCGTTGTGCCGCCGCAGCAGCAGTCCCCGCCGGTGTCAGCCCTTCGCCTGCTTGGCCTGCCGTCCCCCGACCCTGCGTCGGTTCCTCCCCGACCGTCTCCTCCTCTTCCTGTCTACGGCCCTGTTTTCCCTACGCCGGACTCGTCCCCGGCCCGTCTCCCCCCTCGTTCCCCTCCTGTGTCCCCTCCTCTGTCTCCTGACCCGACTCCTCCGTCGCACGTCTGGTCTCACCGTCCCTCCCGTGCTCGTCCTGCCTCGCCTGTCCTGCGCTCCCACCCTATGTTGCTTCGTTCCCACGCGTCTCGTCCTCCCCTTCTGCCGTCGCCTACTCCGTCCTCCCTTGTTGTTGCACCCCCCCCGCTGTCTGACTACCTTCGTGCCGCTCGTCCTCTTGTTCCTCGGGTCCTTGCCTCTCTCGTTACCGACCCGTCTGTTCCGGCCTCGTGCCTTGACGCCCTTGTTGCTGCTGTCGCTGATTTCGCCTCTACCCGCCGCCTCGACTACGCCTCCGCTCTGGTCTCTGACCCTGCCTGTCCTCCGTCTGTCGGGGGTGCTCCTGCCCTTGGCAGTGACGTCCTGGAGGACCGCCAGTTCGAGCTTGCTTTCCTGTCCGAGGCTGCTCCCCATCTCTGTTCCATGCTGCTAGTCCCTGAGGGTGACCCAGACGCTTTTGACATCCCGACCCCTCGCACTTACGCTGAGGCGACCTCGGGACCCTGGGCCTCGCACTGGATAGCTGCCATGGAGCAGGAGATGGCATCTTGGAGATCCACCGGCACCTTCGTCGACGCAGTTCCCCCACCTGGGGTGAACGTAGTCGATGGCCGCTGGCTCTTCAAGGTGAAGCGCCCTCCTGGAGAGCCGCCGGTCTTCAAGGCGCGCTATGTGGCTAGAGGCTTCAGTCAGCGCGAGGGGGTGGACTTCTTCCAGACCTTCGCTCCGACCCCGAAGATGACTACTCTTCGGGTTCTGTTACACCTAGCGGCTCAGGGTGACTACGAGCTTCACTCCCTCGACTTCTCCACAGCCTTCCTTTAGGGCAGCCTACACGAGCAGGTCTACCTGCGTCGCCCTCCGGGCTTTACTGGCACCTTCCCTCCTGGTACCCAGTGGCTCCTGCGGCGCCCCGTCTACGGCCTGCGCCAGGCTCCTCGTGAGAGGCACGACACTCTTCGTGCTACCCTTGCTGACCTGCAGCTCTTTCCGTCTTCCGCAGACCCTTCACTCTTCGTTCGTGCTGGCCAGACTCCGTTCTACATCCTTGTTTACGTCGACGACCTGGTCTTTGCCACAGCAGACAGGGACGCACTGGCCTCCGTGAAGGCAGAGCTTCTGAAGAGACACACGTGCACTGACCTTGGAGAACTGCGCCGTTACCTTGGCTTGCAGATCTCCAGGGACAGAGCTGCGCGCACCATCACCCTGACTCAGTCACACTTGGTGCGCCAGGTCCTTCAGAGGTTCAGCCTTCAGTTCTCCTCTGCACAGCCCACCCCTCTGCCTGTAGACCACAGACTCTCCGCTCCAGTGTCTGAGGAGTCGGCAGAGCCCAGCGGCCCCTACGCAGAGCTGGTGGGTTGCCTCATGTACCTGATGACTTGCACTCGCCCAGATCTCGCATACCCTCTCAGCATCCTGGCTCGCTTTGTGGCCACAGGCAGACACCGACCGCAGCACTGGTCTGCCGCTAAGAGGGTTTTGCGTTATCTTGCTAGTACATCGGGCATGGGGTTAGTGCTAGGAGGACGCAGGCCAGTGGTCCTTACTGGACACAGAGACGCTTCGTGGGCAGACGACGCTGAGACGCTCAGGTCTACCCAGGGCTACTGCTTCAGCCTTGGCTCAGCTGCCGTCTCGTGGAGAGCTACCCGCTCCTCGTCTGTAGTGCAGTCCAGCTGTGAGGCTGAGATCTACGCTGGTGCCATGGCGGCACAGGAGCTCCGCTGGCTGACCTTCTTGCTCACTGACTTAGGTGAGCGGCCTAGCTCTGCCCCGGTCCTGTTCGCTGACAACAGGGCCATGATCCTCCTGTGTCAGGAGCCTCGACTCGAGGGCAGAGCGAAGCACATTCAGCTGCGGTACTTCCTCCTGCGTGAGCTACAGCAGCGACGTCAGGCTCGCGTAGTACACTTGGCCTCAGGTGCCAACACGGCTGATATCTTTACGAAGGCGCTTGCGCCTAAAGATCATCAGCGGCACTGTGTACAGCTTGGTCTAGTCCCTGTAGCCTCTCACTTGCTAGGACCTTGACTTTGTACTGTCCTTTATACGTATACTCAGACTGGACTTGTGTCCTCTCGCAGTGGCTGGACTAGTAGTGCCGCCCTGCCCTTATTCTTGCCTTGTTTGTACTCCTTCTGACTGGTCTCTTAGACCCTTGTCTCAGAGGTTGGACTAGTAGTGCCGCCCTGAGCTGTTTGTTTAGGGCATTCCCCTATGCAGTCTAGGGGGTGTGTCAAACATGTGTATTTGTCATGCTTGTATAGACTGTATAGGGTCGCCTCTTAGAGAGTACAACACTTAGGTATATCTTTGTGTATTCTCACTCTATCATACATTCAATTTTCAATTTGATAGCTTCTGCGTCCCGGCGTGCTTCTTGAACGACTGGGTCTGCACGTCCGTTGCTCCCTTGGGGGCCTGGACAGTGGCCCAGTGGGGCAGCCAGCCCTACATTCATTTTCAGCCAGCCCTTCAACTGCTACCGTAGAGCTGATGGAGCCAAAGATGGCCAAATTGCCAGGCCTCGTTTTGGTAACAGAGCGTAGTGTAGTGTGGTAACCAGATGCCAAATTATAGCAAGACATTGCATTACATGGGTAAATTTCTACTGGCAAACTTGCAAACCCCCCAGCAGCACTGGCAGGAGCAACTAGAGGGGACTAATCACATGACATATGCATGCAGATGGGTGGAGGGAGGGGCATGGCAGCTGGCTTGAATACATTCCCCTGTGGAATGAGGGCTACTGTCGAAGGCAGGCGATAGAAGGCAGTTGTGGGGAGTGGAGAATCTGGAGATGGGAGCGAAGGTTAACGCTGAGGAGGTGAACGGGAGACCTGAGCGAGCAGGTGATTCATGAGCTGCAACACGGTAGAATGGCTTACGGGCTGAGCCAATCGCCATCCAGCCATGGATTCATGAGCGCTGCTTGTGTTCTTAAATCCAGAAGCCAACTCAGCTGGGTCCAGAGTGACCACGGAACCCGGCTTCTAGTGCTGCTTCTCTATCCATCTAGGAGCGCGGCTTCTCCTTCTTCTCCTTGAAGAGCGCCAGCAGCGACACTCCCGACACCTTCACAACTTTGAACCGCACTCCGGGGATATCTCCCACAGCGTGGCCCTTACGCCCGAACCCAGCAATGAGGACCTCGTCCTGATAGGAGAAGGAAAGAGAGAGGGAAATGAGGGGAGACGAGGGAAGATGAGAGAGGTGAGAGGGGATCGAGCACCAGCAGTTACACCCCCAAGACCTTCACCACTTTGAGCCACACTCCAGGGGTATCCCCCATGCATGGCCCTTACGCCCAAACCCAGTGATAAGGACCTCGTCCTGTTAAGATGGGGAGGAGAGGAGAGGAGGGATGGAGGGACGAAGAGCGATGGACAGGTGAGGAGCAGGGAGAGCAAATGAGTGCTTGTAACGAGTGCCAGCAGCAACATCCCCGACACCTTCACCACTTTGACCCTCCCCCGGGAATATCTCCCACGGCGTGGTCCTTTCGCCCGAACTCAGCAATGAGCACCTCGTCCTGTGAGGCATGGGAGAGGAGAAGACGGTTGAATGAGGCCACTGGGACAAGAAAACCTCACTCTAGAAATATCTCCCACAGCGGGGCCCTTACGCCCGAGCCCAGAAATGAGCACCACGTCCAGAGTTGACGGGGGAGGGGTGGCAAAGAGGATGGGTGAAAGAACAGAGTGGCTGGATGAGGACGAGGAGTCATCGCACTTTGGGAATGGATGAGTGCTGTATGTCACTCATGCCCCACCCCACCCATGCTCCACCCGGTACTCACGCTCTCCTTGATGAAGTTGACGCAGGCAGCCGCGAAGGCGTCAATGTTTACATTGATACAAGTCCAATCCCCACTCATTCCCCCTTAATGGTCACGTCCCCCCTCCGCATGCACGTCCCCGCTCCCACTCACGTTCCCCTCAATAAAGTTGAGGCAGCCGCCGTTGGGGACAAAGGTGGGAATCTTCTGAATCAGCTCACACCACCTCCCAGACCACCCCCCCCTCCCCCTTCCTCTCCCCCCACCTCCCCGCGCCCTATCCCCCCCGCCACTCACGTTCTCCTCAATGAAGTTGAGGCAACCGTCGTTGGGCACAAACGCGGCGATCTTCTTGCCGTTCTTAATCAGCTGCACTCGCGCGCACTTGCGAATGGCGGAGTTAGGCTGCTTGGCCTCAATGCCACTGAAGAGGGGACGCACACAGAACGACAGGAAGGACGGGCGAAGGGGAAGGGAAAAGGAAGGGGGGACAGGGGGGGAAGGGTTCGGGGGGAGAAGGGGGAAAGAAGGGGCGGAAGTGGGGGGGGGGGGGGGGGGATATTTAGACATCTTGCCGTTCTTAATCGGCTGCACTCGTGCGCACTTGCGGATAGCGGAGTTGAACTGCTTGGCCTCAGTACCGCTGAGAAATGAGGAGAAAGAAGCGGAGAACGGAACGGAGAGGGAGAGACGCCGGGGAGGGGGTTGAGGGAGCCGTTCTTGATGAGCGGCACTCGCACGCACTTGTGTAGAGCAGAATTGGGCTGCTTGGCCTCAGAGGGGATGAGGAATGAAAAGCGCGGGACTAAGGGCGCCCAGGAATGGGCCAGACGCGTCACACGATGGCCTTATTTTCAAGGACGATTGGAACAGAGCAGAGAGGAGCAGAGGGCGTGCAAGACTGAGGGCGTTACATCTTCTCGCGCATGATGTCCTTGGCGTTGAGCGGGCACGCGAAGAGAGAAAGAGAGGGGCACGCGACGGCAGGGCACGCGAGGGGTTGTAACAGAGAAAAGAAGCGCGAGTTTACATCTTTTCGAGCACGATGCCCTTGGCGTGCGAGGAGCCCATGAAGGGTGAGCGGGCACGCGAAGAGGGAGGACATGCCGGATTCAACAGAGAGAAAGAGCGAGCTTTACATCTTCTCGAGGACAATTCCCTTGGCGTGCGAGGAGCCCATGAAGGGCTTCTTCCACTCGTTGCCCTGGTGGCTCTTCTTGTACTGCTTGTCCGCCCACAGCTGGTTGCGCCGGTGGTTGCGCAGCTTGCGCCCGGCTCCCATACCGCGCGTCTTACTGCGCGCAGGGGAACGGGGGATCAAAGCATGCGGAGTGCAGAGTTACGATGTTTAGAGAAGTCTCCAGAACGCAGCTTGCGCCCGGCTCCCATTCCGCGCGTCTTAATGCACGGAATTGGAATTCAACGTCGCAAGGAAACCACCCGAACTTAAGACGGAAACGCATAAACGCAGCTTCCGACGCTCTTCCAGAAGAAAAAACAAGGACGACGCTCGGGTAACTCTGGATTCTAAAGGCGACGAATGAGAAAAGACTGCAACCTAGATGGCGGACGCAGAGGATATGTTACTGAGACTTTGACAACGAGCAAAAAATCCGGTCCAACTCGCAACGGGCAAAACACCGATCGGCGACCGGGCTAATCTTGTCGCGTAAACCCTGAACCCGGGTCGTCCGTGAAAACCTAACCCGCGCGCCTAACCCAAAAATACTCTAAGGCGCCTCGCTGCTAACCCTAAACGCAGGTCGCGTGTTTCTAACTCACCCCATGTTGGCAGCTGGGCGGCTGAACCGAGAGAGTCAGGGAAGGGAGGGGGGGAGCGTGAGTTGCTCCGCTAGCTGGAGGGGGAGGAAGGGGAAAAGGGAGAAAGAAGCGTGGAGCAGGTAGATATGCGAGGAGAGGGTAGAAGGGGAGAGGAGAGGGACAAATAGGCCTTCCAATCAACGTCAGCGAGGCGAGGATCTGGGCTGGAGACTGGCGACACAACCAATTGCCACCCGGAAAAAAACTGATCGAAAGCTAGATTCGGGTGAACAGAGTAACAAGTAGACTAAGGTATTTCCAACATACATACTGCTAAAACCCGTGGCCCAAATGGTTCACAAATACGCACAGTGTATGAGCCACGGGTTTTGCAGATTTGTAAGAAATCCACAATTGTGATTTCTTGTGAAACCGGTTTGGGGCTTCGTACTGTTGTGATAAAAACGTACTTCAGCATTTCTGGAAATAGTTTCGATAGATATTATCAAGTTACACTGTAATTAGCATCTGTAGAATGACGTCAGCAAATAGCGCTCGTCTGGATGATTACGTCAGCAGGTCGTTTCAGTCATGCGAACAGTTGCGCCCATTTCTGTAGCGATTAGAGCGCATAGCACAAGTAGTTTTGGACAGGTATATTACCGAACAGGTACTTTTAGCAGGTATAAGAGTAGTGTCAAACATATATCGTATGTTTCTGTAGGCTATATAGGGTTATGCCTTAGGGAGTACAACCCATTAGGTTATATTCCCTTGTATGCCTTGTTCTAGATATTCTTTCACTTGAACATGGTATCATGAGTAGGTAGGTCCCCCCCCCCTCCCCCGGTCGACCCAGTCCACCCCCTTCCCCGCCTGCCCCGCCTGGTGTATCTCACGCCACCCCCCTCCCGTCGGTTGTCCCTGCTGAGGAGTCTGCTGACTCTCGCGGCTCGGCGGAGTCTCTTCCCCCGCCTGTCCCTTCCCCGGTCTCGCCTTCCCTGTCGCCGCCGCAGCCGCCTCCCCCGCTGCCGCCGCAGCCGTAGCCGCCGTCGTCACCGCCGCTGGGTTTCGTGCGTTCTGAGGGTGCTGGGGAGCGGGCTGGAGCTGGTTCTGGAGCGGGCTCTGAGGGTGCTGGCGTGGGGCTTCTCGGAGGGAGCCGTGTTGCTGCTGGAGGTTCTGGTGTTGGAGTCGGGCAGCAGTCGCAGCTGTCGCCGCCAGTGTCCGCTCTTCACCTCCTCGGTCTCCCGTCCCCTACCCGCCCGTCATTGCCTCCCCTCCTGCCGCCGCCTCCTCTTCTGCCGGTCCATGGCCCCGTGCTTCCTCCCCCGGATTCCTCTCTGGCTCGTTTCCCTCCCCGTTCTCCTCCTGTGTCTCCTCCCCTCTAACCTGACCCGAGTCCTCCGTCTCCCGTCTGGGTTCGTCGTCCGTCTCGTGCTAGTCCTACCTCCCCTGTTCCGCGTTCCCACCCTATGTTGCTTCGCTCTTACGCGTCTCGTGCTCCTCTTCTCCTCCCGTCTCCTTCTCCGTCATCGCTTGCTGTGGCCCCGCCTCCGTTCTCGGACTTCCTCCGTGCTGCGCTTCCCCTTTTTCCTCGTGTCCTTGCCTCTCTCGTTACCGACCCGTCTGTTCCTGTCTCGAGTCTGTCGGCTCTTGTCGCTGCTGTCAATGACTTCGCCGCTACCCGCCGCCTGGACTACGCCACCGCTCTGGTCTCTGACCCTGCCTGCCCTCCGAACGTCGGGGGTGTGGTTGCTCTTGGCTGTGACGGCCTAGAGGACAGGCAGTTCGAGCTCGCTTTCCTGTCTGAGGCCGCTCCCCATCTCTGTTCCATGCTACTAGTCCCTGAGGGTGACTTAGACGCCCTCGACATCCCGACCCCTCGTACCTACGCTGAGGCAACCGCGGAACCCTGGGCCTTTCAGCAGCTGCCATGGAGCAGGAGCTGGCATCTTGGAGATCCACCGGTACCTTCGTCGACGCAGTTCCCCCACCTGGGGTGAACGTAGTCGATGGCCGATGGCTCTTCAAGGTGAAGCGCCCTCCTGGAGAGCCGCCTGTCTTCAAGGCGCGCTACGTCGCTCGAGGCTTCAGTCAGCGTGAGGGGGTGGAATTCTTCAGACCTTCGCCCCGACCCCGAGGATGACCACTCTTCGGGCGCTGCTACACATAGCAGCACATTTTGACTACGAGCTGCACTCCCTCGACTTCTCCATAGCTTTCCTCCAGGGCAGTCTGCACGAGCAGGTCTACCTGCACTGCCCCCACTCCGGTACCTTCCCCCCTGGCACCGAGTGGCTCCTCTGGCGCCCCGTCTACGTCTTGCGACAGGCGCCCCGTAAGTGGCACGACACGCTGCGTGCTACACTTGCTGACCTGCAGTTCTTCCCGTCGTCTGCAGACCCCTCGCTCTTTGTCTGTTCCGGCCAGACTCCATTCTACATCCTTGTCTATGTAGACGACCTGGTGTTTGCTACTACAGACAGAGACGCGCTGGCCCCCGTGAAGGCCGAGCTGATGAGGAGACACACCTTCACTGACCTAGGAGAACTGCGCCGCTACCTTGGCTTGCAGATCTCTAAGGACAGAGCATCGTGCACCATCACTCTTACACAGTCACACTTGGTGTGCCAGGTCCTTTAGAGGTTCGGCCTTCAGTTGTCTTCCGCACAGCCCAACCCTCTGCCAATAGACCACATACTCTCTGTGCCTATTCTGGAGGAGGCTGTAGAGCCTAGTGGTCCCTCTGCAGAGCTGGTGGGTTACCTCATGTACCTGATGACTTGCACTCGTCTAGATCTCGCATACCCTCTTAGCATCCTGGCTCGCTTTGTGGCCACAGGGAGACACCGACCACAGCATTGGTCGGCAACTAAGAGGGTTTTGCGTTATCTAGCAAGTACATCGGGCATGGGGCTAGTGGTAGGAGGACGCAGACCAGTGGTCCTTACCGGGCAGACAGACGCTTCTTAGGCAGACGACGACGAGACTCTTAGGTCCTCCCAGGGCTACTACTTTAGCCTTGGTTCAGGTGCCATCTCGTGGAGGTCCAATCGCTCCTCGTCTATTGCAAAGTCTAGCTGTGAGGCTGAGATCTATGCCGGTGCCATGGCAACAGGCGCTCCGTGAGTGGCACGATACGCCGCGTGCTACACTTGCTGACTTGCAGTTCTTCCCTTCGTCCGCAGACCCCTCGCTCTTTGTCCGTTCCGGCCAGACTCCGTTCTACATCCTTGTCTACGTAGATGATCTGGTCTTTGCTAACGCAGACAGAGACGCACTGGCTGCCGTAAAGGCCGAGCTGCTAAGGAGACACACTTGCACTGACCTAGGAAAGCTGCTCCGCTCGCTTTTGGATCTTTTCTTTTTGCCAGCTAGATCCGCAATCACTGGCTAATTCCGTTTTTTTTCTTCCGATTGGCCGAAGAATTTCCGCCACTGTTGCGTGCCCGATACTCTGCGCGTGCGGCTTTCATTTTGTTGTAGTCGAAGATTCGATGGCCCGGCACCCCGCAAAAATCACACGTGTAGTTGGTGTTTTTCGGACGTGACCGCCCGTCGAACCTGTCGATTTCCATCGGGTCGGCGAACGTGGGGTGAGCCGAGCGGTCGCCCTGTTGCGTACTGCCGACGTGCGCCCGTCGTGTTCCGGTGTTGACCATGTCGAACCGCTCTGCTGCCGAAACGACGTCACTGTAGCTCGCATAGTTTGTTGCTGCTACCTGTCGTTTGATTTTGGTCTTCAGCCCGGCGAGATACGACTGTACTTTTTCCCCTTCGGTCTGGTCAGGAATGCGGTTATAAAATTCCTCCATCTGTTGCTTGTACTGCGCTACACTCCCGAACTGTCGATGGCGATGAATGTTTTCCTGGGCAAGGAAACCCGAATTTATCGGCTCGAAGCGTTTCAGCAGGTCGGTGCAGAACTGCTGCCACATGGCTTCGCCGTGGATGAAGGTACTGTTATCGCCGATCCACTCGAGTGCCGGTCCTCGCATCAGTGTCGCTGCGAGTCGTACACGTTGACCGTCCCAGACTGGAGAGCTCCATCCGATGGCTGCGAAGTAGATCTCCATGCCGGCGATCCATCTGCGGGCGTCGGAATTTCGATCGCTTGGATCGAACGGCTCAGGTGGGCGCGGTTTCGGAGCCTCGAGAAACTGCTGCGACTGCTGCGTCATCGCCGTTGTCGTGTCGTGCTGCGCGCCAGCGAGTGGAGTTACTCGCTCGAACTCGTTTTGCCAAGCTTCGCGATCGGCTCGCATCTCCTCCTAAAGGGCGGCGATGCTCGCGAAGAGCTGCTGGGTAACCTTGACTTTGTCGAAGTTCGCCATCCTGTTCAAAACACGCATGGAGGGGTGAATTCGAAAAACGCGGAGCTGGTGCTTACTAGAATCGGCGCCGAATGAGTCATCCCCGGCGGTTTTTCGAAGCAGTTTTTCCCGCTGCTCCTGCTTAGCTGAGCGCGGCTGAGTAAGAAAAGCTCTGATCACCAAGTGTCACAGGATCGAATGTGTCGAGGAAAATTTGCACTATCGATTGATACAAGGTGCTTTTATACTTCCAAAGTACATCAGGTAACCAGGTTTATCCTATCTAAAAGGAATAGACCCTTATAGAAATAGAATCACCCTGCGTATAGCCACACGAGGCTATTGGCTTTAAGGGATTACGGCGGGATTACGCTAGATATAGCGCGCCAGTACATCCCGAGCCTGGTCGGTGATATAATCATAATAGCAAGATAAACCAAAGGATAATGGAATAGGAGAAATAGGAAACCAAATGAGATGAGAGAAAAAGAGGAATGAAATAGAAAGGAGAGATGGAAAGGGAAATTGGTGTAACGTGGTTGTACTCTCACAGTGGGGATGACAAACTGAAGGAATGCTAAAAGTTTCATTATGTTATGCATTTCTCACGCCGTTTTTAAACGCCTGACCGGGTGAATAGGGAACGAGGACACCAAGGAGGAACAGAAATAAAGATAACTGGATTGCACTAAATGGGTGGTTGGAATTGGAATCAAACTGCAGGCTGTCCGCTTTGAAGTCAAATCAGGCCATACCGGCATGAACTTAAGGTGCCAAGAAATAAGGATCTTGGTATGCCTGTGACCCCCATGTTGAGTTGCACGCAGGTTAATTCTATGAGTTG